AACGGTGAGGAATCAGCCCAGAACTACACGGGAGGATCTTGTCAATGATCTCAAGGCAGCTGGGACCATAGTCACCAAGAAAACAATTGGTAACACATTACGCCGTGAAGGACTGAAATCCTGCAGCGCCTGCAAGGTCCCCCTGCTCAAGAAAGCACATATACAGGGCCGTCTGAAGTTTGCCAAAGAACATCTGAATGATTCTGGGTGAACTGGGTGAAAGTGTTGTGGTCAGATGAGACCAAAATCAAGCTCTTTCGCATCAACTCAACTCGCCGTGTTTGGAGGAGGAATGCTGCCTATGACCCCAAGAACACCATCCCCACCATCAAACATGGAGGTGGAAACATTATGCTTTGGGGGTGTTTTTCTGATAAAGGGACAGGACAACTTCACCGCATCAAAGGGACGATGGACGGGGCCATGTACCGTAAAATCTTGGGTGAGAACCTCCTTCCCTCAGCCAGGGCATTGAAAATGGGTCGTGGATGGGTATTCCAGCATGACAATGACCCAAAACACACAGCCTAGGCAACAAAGGAGTGGCTCAATAAGAAGCACATGAAGGTCCTGGAGTTGCCTAGCTAGTCTCCAGACCATAATCCCAGAGAAAATCTGTGGAGGGAGCTGAAGGTTCGAGTTGCCAAACGTCAGCCTCGAAACCTTAATGACTTGGAGAAGATCTGCAAAGAGGAGTGGGACAAAATCTTTCCTGAGATGTGTGCAAACCTGGTGGCCAACTACAAGAAACGTCTGACCTCTGTGATTGCCAACAAGGGTTTTGCCACCAAGTACTAAGTCATGTTTTGCAGAGGGGTCAAATACTTATTTCCCTCATAAAATGCAAATCAATTCATAACAGTTTTGACATGCGTTTTTCTGGATTTGTTTTATTTTATTCTGTCTCTCACTGTTCAAATAAACCTACCATTAAAATTATAGACTGACCATGTCTTTGTCAGTGGGCAAACGTACAAAATCAGCAGGGGATCAAATACTTTTTTCCCCCACTGTATATCTTCTCAAAGAAACTACTGGTAGTTCTAAAAGTTAGCATCATATTTCTGTCATGCTGCTTTGTTGACAACTCCAACCACCCTGCGCCCCGGGTATTCAGCCAATCAGCGGCCGCCACTGGTTTATTTTCAATGTCGTTTCATGGAATGTGAAAGGTGTTAACTAACCTGTTAAAATGTCCCATCTTTACCATCCAGCCATGGACAAAAACGTTTCTAGCAATGTTGACTGCTACTTTTAGAGCTTTTAACAGGTTCCAAGTTTGGGAAATGGTTTACATAACAGCTTTGAAATGATAGTTTTCCATACTCATCTTTGTAGAAACTAGATTTATATATCAGGGCTATATCGTTTTTGTTATATCTTCTCTTAATATAATTTCAATTATCTGATGTATTAATTAAATAGTTAATAGATTTAATGTAAAATATAAACATGTTTTAATTTTATAACAAGTTTATAACAATCCATAATTGCCATTATCACAATAAAAATGCATGGTGTACAAACAATTTATTTATGAAACAAGATAATCTCTTTTAAGTGGAACACTAACAAAAAATGGTTTGTAGACAATGTAGATCTAACAACAAATGAAATCCAGAAAAAATTACATTTGTGCATTGCAAAATCCCTCACAAAATATAACAAAGCTAGCTACTAACCACAACAATTAATGCTATACAGACTAACAACAACTAAAAAGCTATACTTTGCAAATATCCTTCATCCATATAAGTCGCCAAAAGTTACAAGAAACCTTTTTACTAGATTTTTGATAGATTCTAGAATGGCCTTTATCTGGTTAAATTTTTCCACTCATTCAAAACAGAAAGTTCTCTCCTCATGCCCATCTGTTTTTACTTTGACACATGAACAACACATTTACATTTACATGAAGTCAAATGCTCCCTGTCACACCAGGCATACACACTCAAACCTCAGACCATCAGATGTCAAAGTCAAGGATGCTGTGAACCGTTAACATAATAATCACTGTTGCTCTCTCATCCTACTACTACATCTAACTCCAAACATGACACTCTTACCATTACATAAATGTTTTCACTCTTACATCATCTTCACTTCCTCAACACTTAAGGCTATGTTCCAATGTCCATACTAGCATACTACTTAGAATGCATGCACAATATATATTGCTTCATTCTAAGTGGTATGCTAGAGGGATATTGGAATAGAGTGTTACAACTAACCCAAACTACAACTACTACAACTGCTTCTCTTAAAACCACTGCATTGTTTTGTATATTTTATCTGAGTGACGATAGGGCCTCTCTTGAGCATTTGGCTAACATATCAATCAAGTACACTGAACAAAAATATAAACGCAACATGTAGAGTGTTGGTCCCATGTTTCATGAGCTGAAATAAAATATCCCAGACATTTTCCATACGCACTAAAAGCTTATTTCTCTCAAATGTTTTGCACAAATTTGTTTACGTCCCTGTTAGTGAGCATTTCTCCTTTGTCAAGATAATCCATCCACTTGACAGGTGTGGCATATCAATAAGCTGATTAAAAAGCATGAACATTACACAGGTGCACCTTGTGCTGGGGACAATAAAAGGCCACTCTAAAATGGGCAGTTTTGTCACACAACACAATGCCACAGATGTCTCAAGTTTTGAGGAAGCATGCAGTTGGCATGCTGACTGCAGGAATGTCCACCAGAGCTGTTGCCACAGAATTGAATGTTCATTTCTCTACCGTAAGCCACCTCCAAAGTTATTTTAGGGAATTTGGCAGTACATACAACCAACCTCACAACCGCAGACCACGTGTATGGCGTCAGGGTTATGGTATGCTTATGTCAACATTGTGAACAGAGTGCCCCATGGTGGCGGTGGGGTTATGGTATGGGCAGGCATAAGCTACGGACAACGAACACAATTGCATTTTATCGATGGCAATTTGAATACACAAAAATACTATGACGAGATCCTAAGGCCCATTGTGAGGCCCCTTTTTTTAAGGTATCTGTGACCAACATCTGTATTCCTAGTCATGTGAAATCCATAGATTAGGGCCTATTTAACTTATTTCAATTGACTGATTTCCTCATATGAACTGTAACTCAGTAAAATCAATAAAATTGTTGCATGTTGCGTTTTTTAAATGTTTTGTTCAGTATAATACATGACATAACACTGCATAGTACACAAAGTTTGTGATAGTGTATTTTTATCTTGATGTTTGAGAAATTTTTATGTTGATATCCAACAATCTTCAATTGTGAAATTTCGTCAGTGTAAACAAATAAATAAATTATTTACAATCTCTAACAAAAAAGCAAACAAACAAAACAAACAAACAAACAAGACATAAACTCATGATAATAATTTACAGAAGAAATTATAATACAAACTTAGTATAAACATCTTCATCCCAAAGTACTTTAAAATGCTATAAGACGGTCTCACGGTCAACCTTTTTAGAGTTTGACAAACATTTTAAATGAGTAACTGAAGACCCTTTTAACAAAACTGCATTCTGGGGGTATAAGAAACAATACAAAAATTAAGAACTTTGTTCAAGTTAGCAACGTACATCAGTGTGCTTTGGTATTGATTAAGAGTTTGGCAGATATTTGGCAGTTAATATTAAAATTGATCCAATTTTTCACTGCATGGCTGAAACTGCTGAGGTCAATACAGATACCTTTAGTTGCTAAGCAACCCAGACACCTTTACTGTACATTGTACTTAGCCTCAAGTTGCTCTCTATTCCAGCACAAACAATATCAATATTTATAGAGTAACAAGAATTGTATATTTACTTTTGTTAATGTAAAGCTATAGAAAGTTAGGAGAAAAATCAGAGTAAAGCACAAAAGTGGTTGTACAAATAATCCCTATAATATGTTGTCAACATCGGTTACGCCAAGACCTTTTTCATTTGTCCACAAGGCCTTTTTCATTTGTCATCGGTTTTCATTTCTCAAGGAAATGTCTTTTCACATAAGGCACTCAGAAAAACTGGAAAAGGCCTCGGCTGCCCCTTCAATGGAAAGTTAGAGGCAAAAATACTTTGGAGGGGTGAAGCTGAAGCTCCATTTCATTGGTTGAAATGACGAACGAATCAGCAAAAGGCTGGTGATCAGGTTATGTGGTTTAGTGTCTTCAGCCATTTGAAGTTTTCACATCCAACGCTGTTCAGTTATCTAGTGAAAACAGGAGAAATAGTATGATTATTTATTCTAAGCACATTTATAACAACAAAGCTAAGGAATAACAGCATATCCAGAGTCATACAGTATATAGAGTAACCTATATACAGTATACAGCCGTATACATACACAATATGGTTCTGGGAATATAGCCAACAATACAGCAACCGGTGGAGCATTGTGTGTTCAATACAGTAAAGTGTGAACAAGCAGTATTCTTGTATTTGGGATCAAAGTAGCACTTGAAACCCTTTAAGAACACACACCAGACCTCTCACAAAGTGTTACAAACACACACACACACACACACACACCCACACCCACACCCACACCCACACCCACACCCACACCCACACCCACACCCACACACATACAGTATACACGCAACATAGTATAAGGGCTCTATTAAATCTATATAGCCGAAATTCAGCATTACAGCGTGATTTAAATTTAAAGGCAATGTGCCCGCATTAGCTGAGACTGCATTCCCGGTAAACGCTGTATATGTTGGCTCAATCGGAAATTACCTTTACATTTCTATCACGTAATCTGTAACGCTTCAGCGATACAGATTGAATAGAGCCCTAAGTGTCTAGGTCATTGGAACCAGGCAAGGAGACGAGCAGAAACAAAAGCGTGACTTCAGTGTCTTTTTGTTACCTGATGGACAACACAGTTGGAAACTCCAGCTTATCTGAGTATTGGAAAAGATTTTGAAGGTTTTAAAAACACTTTTTTTACCCCTTCATCTGCATTTTGTCTCCCAAAAAGAAGAGATCTCTTCCACAATTACCAACCAACCATTCTTTTCACAAACCATGGACTGTACTAGCCTGGTACCAGTTCTGTTTGTGCCAACTCCTATGGTAATTAGAGTGACACCATCGGAGTTAGCAAGACAGCACAAACAGATCTGGGACCAAACTAGAATGGTGCTTCTAGCTACAGGACTCACCTCTACACTCATATTTGAGATCGGAGAAGAAGACCAGTTCCTGGGAGAAGACAAACAGGCCTAACCGTCCTCCAGCAAACGTCTTGTCGTACACTGGTCCTGAGTCTGCCAAGATCTGTTTTCCTTCATAAACCACAACCCTACATAAAAACAACAAGACAATAAATTAATGATTGAAAATGATCACTTGGAGTGCTGTACATTTGGACAAAGCACACTATGAACAAAACACCCTGCTTAACAGCTTAACCTATAGTATATTATCATAAAAAGTATTTTCAGACTGTTACTGAGGAAAGTGCAATGGGTGTGATCGACTGGATTCAATCCCGGGTCTCCTACATACCACAAGACTGTATTAGCCCACTGAGCTAAAGCCTAGGCATTAGGCTAGACCTGCTCACCTGATGAATCCAGTCTTGGGTCTGTGGATGAGGTGCCACCTGTAGGCTGTGTAATCCTTCCAGCCAATGTTCTTTGGGTCGTGCCACAGAGTGCGCACCTGTGGACAACAGAGAAGGAAAAATCGAATTAGTGAAGATCTATGATCTATGATTACTTTATACATTTGACTGGCTGATTGAAAGATTGCTTAAGATTGCTCTGGCTAAACCAGAGAAACCGTATGATTTTTTGGCTCTACGAAATTATAACTTGGATCTTAGCATACCTGATTTTTTGTGTTGCCTGTGTGCCACAGGGCGTTTCTCAGGTTCTCCCCTGTGCCTGTGGTTGAGTTGACCACCTTAAGGGAGACACCAGAGATACCGAAGGCCTTGGAGGGTTTATCTTCCCAGTAGGTCTGAGTGATCTGCTTCCACATCACCACGTAGAAGCGGCCGCTAGACTGGTAGCCGAACACAAAGCCTGCGTAGTCGTCATCCCGGTCCGTGTTCACGTAGAAGGTACCACTGAAGTCCACCGCGTTGAACTCATCAAAGCCTAGGATGGTGGAACAGAAAAAGTGAATACTTAGGATGGTTGGTGGGACACACACATTTGAATAATACTTCTGCTCTTCACAATATTTATAGATAATGGAAATAGTTTGATATCTTGCATATGGTAAAATATGCCCTAACTGTATAGGGTTGTAAATCTCCTGAAATCCAGATTGCGGATTCCTGGAATCAGGAGAGAATAAGCAGGGAGAGAATCTGGGACTTCTGTAAAATCTGGGAACTGGGAGAGTTTCTTGAATTTTGCTACCCTACAAGGGAATACATGAAAATATCAGAGGTAAGGTTGTCCTGCTCTACTCGCCCACTGTGATGACAGGGTCAGAGTTGACATTCTACACATACAGTGGGGGAAAACAAGTATTTAGTCAGCCACCAATTGTGCAAGTTCTCCCACTTAAAAAGATGAGAGAGGCCTGTAATGTTCATCATAGGTACACGTCAACTATGACAGACAAAACGAGGAAAAAAAATCCAGAAAATCACATTGTAGGATTTTTAATGAATTTATTTGCAAATGATGGTGGAAAATAAGTATTTGGTCACCTACAAACAAGCAAGATTTCTGGCTCTCACAGACCTGTAACTTCTTCTTTAAGAGGCTCCTCTGTCCTCCACTCGTTACCTGTATTAATGGCACCTGTTTGAACTTGTTATCAGTATAAAAGACACCTGTCCACAACCTCAAACAGTCACACTCCAAACTCCACTATGGCCAAGACCAAAGAGCTGTCAAAGGACACCAGAAACAAAATTGTAGACCTGCACCAGGCTGGGAAGACTAAATCTGCAATAGGTAAGCAGCTTGGTTTGAAGAAATCAACTGTGGGAGCAATTATTAGGAAATGGAAGACATACAAGACCACTGATAATCTCCCTCGATCTGGGGCTCCACGCAAGATCTCACCCCGTGGGGTCAAAATGATCACAAGAACGGTGAGCAAAAATCCCAGAACCACACGGGGGGACCTAGTGAATGACCTGCAGAGAGCTGGGACCAAAGTAACAAAGCCTACCATCAGTAACACACTACGCCGCCAGGGACCCAAATCCTGCAGTGCCAGACGTGTCCCCCTGCTTAAGCCAGTACATGTCCAGGCCCGTCTGAAGTTTGCTAGAGTGCATTTGGATGCAGAATGTCATATTGGGAGAATGTCATATGGTCAGATGAAACCAAAATATAACTTTTTGGTAAAAACTCAACTCGTCGTGTTTGGAGGACAAAGAATGCTGAGTTGCATTCAAAGAACACCATACCTACTGTGAAGCATGGGGGTGGAAACATCATGCTTTGGGGCTGTTTTTCTGCAAAGGGACCAGGACGACTGATCCGTGTAAAGGAAAGAATGAATGGGGCCATGTATTGTGAGATTTTGAGTGAAAACCTCCTTCCATCAGCAAGGGCATTGCAGATGAAACGTGGCTGGGTCTTTCAGCATGACAATGATCCCAAACACACCGCCTGGGCAACGAAGGAGTGGCTTCGTAAGAAGCATTTCAAGGTCCTGGAGTGGCCTAGCCAGTCTCCAGATCTCAACCCCATAGAAAATCTTTGGAGGGAGTTGAAAGTCCGTGTTGCCCAGCGACAGCCCCAAAACATCACTGCTCTAGAGGAGATCTGCATGGAGGAATGGGCCAAAATACCAGCAACAGTGTGTGAAAACCTTGTTAAGACTTACAGAAAACGTTTGACCTGTGTCATTGCCAACAAAGGGTATATAACAAAGTATTGAGAAACTTTTGTTATTGACCAAATACTTATTTTCCACCATAATTTGCAAATAAATTCATAAAAAATCCTACAATGTGATTTTCTGGATTTTTTTTCTCATTTTGTCTGTCATAGTTGACGTGTACCTATGATGAAAATTACAGGCCTCTCTCATCTTTTTAAGTGGGAGAACTTGCACAATTGGTGGCTGACTAAATACTTTTTTCCCCCACTGTATCTAAACTGTAGTGAATTAAATATCTCTAATCTATTGCTAATATTTTTATCTCTTTTACGGCAGTATAGGGACTACATATTGAGGTTATATCCTACTCACCAACAGCAATGCCAGGGTCAGAGTTGACGGTCTGTACCAGCTCCTTGCCCTGATGTCTAACCACCCAGTTGGGGTCGATCTGCGTTGTTCCCTTGGGGTCCAGGTGCACCATCTGAAACTTCCGGAAGTTTGTGACGCTGACGGCGTTGTTCTCAGGACACACGTCAAGGATGTCCGGGATGTTGTCGTTGTCAAAGTCGTCTTTGCAGGCGTCGCCTCTACCGTCGCCTGTTGATAGAAGAATGGAAGATGTTGGGTTAAAATACAGAGGCCTAGTGTGAGAACTTTGACAAAGACTATGGTCAAAACGTGTCAGATTATTTTATGAATAAAAGAGCACCATGAATTCATTTGGTTGTTGCTCTCCTATTCCTTTTTAATGGAACGATTGGTGACTACAGTAGGCCTATATAACTCTCTAGTCTCCACACTAGCAATAATGTTGCAACAGTCCTACCACAGGGAAGGTAGACTTTTCACTCACTCTACCAAGTTTACATAAAAATAATCGCAATTCCTGTAAATGTTAATATGTCCGCCAAGTCCAATAAGGAGTCTCAGCCATCTGCATGCCGTGCAGATGGTTGAGGCCATAGCCTGTTAGAAACATACTCATAATACAGACCAAAGGGAAGTCTCCAGCGAGCTGTAAAGCCTGTTTCCTCATCTTTCTCCTCTACTCTCTTGTTATTGGACAGGGGGCTGACTTGATTCTATCAAATAAACACGTTCTGATGAGGTGTGAAGAGGGTAAAGGGATCTGGCTCGAGGGTTTTTCCTTGAGAAGTATCTCATTCTCTTTCTCCCTCTCTCTCTCTCTTTCTCCATCGCTCTCTCTCGCTCTCTAGTTCCCTCTCTCTCCCTCTCTCTCTCCCTGTCTCTTTCTCCATCGCTCTCTCTCACTCTCTAGTTCCCTACCTCTCCCTGTCTCCACACAGCCTGCTTCTAGTTAAAGCCAGCTAAACAAACTTCAGGTAACCCTGCATGATACAATTGAAATTGGGCACTGTGGATTAATCAAGAGCAAGCGAGCTCAGATGCCCCCTTCGGAAATAAAAATTAATGGCCTGGCGGCTGGGTGGCTGGCTGGCGGATGATGCCCTCACCGGTTCCCGCTCCGCACGATAAAGTCATATGCTAATGATGTCATCAACCCTGACCCAGATATACCCCTTTTTGTTAACTCTTCACTGTCTGACCCACCCACCACACTTGCACTTGCACAATAAAACTGCAGGAGAATTCAACAATTCAACAGTGTATAGATATCTATATTTCTTTAATCAGTTCACTTTTTGTACCCCGCACCTGCAAGTTCCTGGATGTGCGTACACTACTTCTAAACCGCCCACCATACTTCACATTTTGTAGAGAGAAAGAGGGAAATGGAACATGGCATATTGAACTGTAAAAATATGAGGTGGTTAAGAGGTAAAAGGCACCCCATGTGTTTTTTATGGTGGGCAGATACAGGGAAACTTTATTCCTCTATCATACACCGCAGGTGTTTTAGTAGTAGCTATAGTTTACAGGGAAATGGGACATAGCATGTTGACCTATATAAACAAATATGAATGTAAAAAGGAGGGCAATAGGTTCTTCAATGTGTGTTTTATGGTGGACAAGTGCAGGGAAGCCTCAACAGGAGATTCCTGTATCACAAGCAACCCTCTGTGTGATGTTCGGTAGTATCTGGTATGTGGTCCTCTGTAGCTCAGCTGGTAGAGCACGGAGCTTGTAACGCCAAGGTAGTGGGTTCGATCCCCGGGACCACCCATACACCAAAAATGTATGCATGCATGACTGTAAGTCGCTTTGGATAAAAGCGTCTGCTAAATGGCATATTATATTATATTATATTATCTATGGTACTGTATAAAGGGCTATTACAGAAGTCGCAAATCAACCTACAGCTACTGGAGACTAATTCCTCCTCAGGCAGCTACAGTCACAGCATTCTTCACGGGCGTGAGGGTATTCAACATGCTGATGCATGGTGTGTGTATGTGTGTGTGTGTGTTTTCCCCCTTACCATCAGAGTCCAGTTGATCTTTGTTGGGTGTCAATCTACAGTTGTCCCTATCGTCAGGGATACCGTCATTGTCATCGTCGAAGTCACAGGCGTCCCCCTTGCCGTCCTTATCGTGGTCTGCCTGGTTGGAGTTGGCGACGTAAGGACAGTTGTCCAGGTTATTCTGGTGACCGTCTTCATCAATGTCTTGGTTGTTGTCACACTGGTCTCCTACAAGGTCATTGTCTGTGTCAGCCTGTTAGAGAGGAGAGAACAGGAGAGGACAGGACAGGAGAGGACAGGAGAGGGTTACATGTTAACAACATTTCCCAGAACTTTTCCAAATGTTTTCCAGAAACCCCGGTTGCAAGGAGGGAGGTCATCCAAATCCTCCAACTGGGAATTTCTGGGAAACCTGGGAATTTGGGGAGTGTTTCTGGAATTTTGCAACCCTAATTACACAAAAGGCAAAGTGACTGTTCTTCATTCTTACCTGGTCAGGGTTGTGTAGCAGAGGACAGTTGTCACACTGGTCACCAACTCCATCCATGTCAGTGTCCTTCTGGTCATTGTTGTACACGTACGGGCAGTTGTCTTGCTCGTTTAGGATTTCTAATGGAAAAGCGAAATGGACATTAAACAACGTGCAGCGGTAATATCATGTGTGCAGGACACATCTTTAGTCATAATCCTAGATATTTGCTTGCCTGTGCTTGCATGTGGCATTTCGCGTTCCGTGCCGTAGAAGTAACTAATGCTAATCAATCACTTGATTTACTATCCTGCAATAATCCATTCAGTATTTTTTAAATGTCATGTCTAGTTCAGAGCCAACTACTGTCAATAGCAATACAAATGAATGACTTTTAAATAATATATTAGAGGGCATATAAAAGTTATAAGAGTTGAAGGAGCCTTTCCCTGTTTTCACTAAATATCACTATAATACAGCAATGTATCATGTTTAGTAACTTGCTAATAAAAGGCTAGTACCATCTCCATCAATGTCGACAGCACAGGCATCTCCTTCCCCGTTGTGGTCGGTGTCGATCTGGGCAGGGTTGTGTTCGTAGGGGCAGTTGTCACAACGATCCCCCACATCATCCTTATCAAAGTCAAACTGTCTAGGATTGTACATTAGAGGACAGTTGTCCTGAGGAGAGAGAGAGAGAGAGCATCAAGTCAAACTGTCTGGGGTTGTACATTAGAGGACAGTTGTCCTGAGGAGAGAGAGAGAGAGAGCATCAAGTCAAACTGTCTGGGGTTGTACATTAGAGGACAGTTGTCCTGAGGAGAGAGAGAGAGAGCATCAAGTCAAACTGTCTGGGGTTGTACAGGAGAGGACAGTTGTCCTGAGGAGAGAGAGAGAGAGAGCATCAAGTCAAACTGTCTGGGGTTGTACATGAGAGGACAGTTGTCCTGAGGAGAGAGAGAGAGAGAGCATCAAGTCAAACTGTCTGGGTTGTACAGGAGAGGACAGTTTGTCCTGAGGAGAGAGAGAGAGAGAGCATCAAGTCAAACTGTCTGGGGTTGTACAGGAGAGGACAGTTGTCCTGAGGAGAGAGAGAGAGAGAGCATCAAGTCAAACTGTCTGGGGTTGTACAGGAGAGGACAGTTGTCCTGAGGAGAGAGAGCAGCAAAATGGGTATTATTAGAGCGTCCATTTATTTGGAGAGGGCTTTTGATTCCCTATTGAATTCATCTAAATACCCTGATGAAGGCATTTGCAGAAACATTTGTTGGTTTTAACAATAAAACATTGACCTCTGAAGCAAACTTCCATTGTCCTACACTCTTAGAAAAAAGGGTTCCAAAACGATTCTTCGGCTGTCGCCATAGGATAACTATTTTTGGTTCCAGGTAGAACCCTTTTTGGTCCCATGTAGAACCCTTTAGGTTCTAGATAGCACCTTTTTTCTCTAAGATTGTACCAAGAGTTACTGAATCTTTTCATCCATTTGCCTTATAAAAGGTATCTTACTCTTTCATCCATGATTCCATCGTTGTCATCATCCTGGTCACAAGCGTCTCCCTGGCCGTCTTTGTCAAAATCTTCCTGTCCAGAGTTAGGCAGGTTGGGGCAGTTATCCTGTTAAAGATGGATAAATAAATGGAAACAGTTTTAGAAATAGCCACAGGAAGAAAAATGTCAAAGATTGTCATTCTGTAAGATTAGAAAATGTGGAAAATCTGCAGGTCTGGTATTGAGGATAAATGTTATTAGGACAGTTTCCTGGACTTAATAAGATTTAGCCTAGTCCTGGACTAAAGTGTATGCTCAATTGATAATCTCAATTGAAAGCCCTTTTTATTCCAGGAAGGTCTAGACTTAAAAATGCACTCCACGATCTTAAGCACAAGAAATGCAAAATATGTATGTTATCATACACATTTCAAAATTCGTAACATATCACACCAAAAAAAACAGGGACCCGTTTTGGCTCGTGAGCACCACTTTCAAAACTACTTGCTGAAATTATACAAAAGTTCAAGAGTGCATATTTAATTTGGGACTAGGGACTAGGCTTACTCTGTATCCAGGAAAGTGGCCCACAGAGAACATAAAGTTAGGGTCTGTTACCTTTCTGCAGTGATAGGTGGCGTTGGCGCCACACACCAGGTTCTGATTAGGCCATCCATCCAGGTCTGAGTCCTCTCCACAGATGAAGCCATCACCAGCGTAGCCGATCCTGCACTCACACTTGTACATGGGGTCACTAAAGTGGCTGAGGTAGATACACTCTGAGGACCGGTGACAGTTGTGGGTCTTGTCTTTGCAGGGGTTCTCTGGCTCGCAGACCTGGAGAGAGCGAGAGAGAGAGATAGGGTGGGAGAGAGAGAGAGAGAGAGAGAGAGAGAGAGAGAGAGAGAGAGAGAGAGAGAGAGAGAGAGAGAGAGAGAGAGAGAGAGAGAGAGAGAGAGATAGGGTGGAGAGCGAGAGCGAGAGAGAGACAGAGAGAGAGAGACAGAGAGAGAGACAGGGAGAGAGATAGAGAGAGAGAGAGAGAGAGAGAGAGAGACAGAGAGAGAGAGAGACAGAGACAGAGACAGAGACAGAGAGAGAGAGAGAGAGAGAGAGAGAGAGAGTCAGGTAGACATTAAATAATATTTCCATTTCCTAAGGAAGAACATGGTAAAAGTTCAGTAAATCAGTGAGTCTCATTTCTTGGGGTGAAGTGTATTCTCAGATGTCATGTTATGTCATGTCTTGTAATGTTGTGTTATATGTGAGGGCTCTATTTCTGACCCCATATGCCCCCTGCTCCGCCATGACCCCTGTGCCTTGTGCATTCTGCTACAGTGTTTTATGTAGCAATGGCAAGAGAATCAAAGACAACACTGTTGTATCTCTATGGCTACAGATATCCATCATTAGGAAGTAATTAGATGCCACTCCGTGTGCTCATATGGTACAACATTACAACACTGTTACGTGATGACCAATAACAAGGCCTTTCTTTCATTCATCAGCTTTGGGAAACAGAGGCCTGCTATGAGACAATTCTCCTTTCCCGTTTTCTCAAATCAATTTGTATGATGTTGGCCTAGGATCAGAGCCGGACCAGTTTTTAAAAGCCAGTGACAAACCAATGATTCAGTAGGCCTGTTATGCAATGTTAGGGCAGAACAGTAGATCTAGGTTCAAATACTATGTGAGATCTTTCAAATACTTTGAGTGTTTGCTTTAGCCTGTCTGGAGTGCCAGATGGCAGGCGTTTGTAGTTTTGTGACTATTCCATTGGTTCCATTGTGACAGGCAAGCTCAATCAAGACCAGATAAAGTATTGTAAATTATTTTAAATAGTATTTGAACCCAGGTCTATTGGGTAGTGGAGTGGTGTAGCGAAATGATTCAACTTTCCAACAAGGAATCTGTATGTGAAATCAGTTGTCATGGTTTCAAAGCAGAAACAATGTATGTATGCCACTACAGATGTTGCCAACGTCTATTCCACGTTGGTTCGACGTAATTTCATAGATATTACGTGGAAACAACGTTGATTCAACCAGTGTGTGCCCAGTGGGAAGTAGCTATTGACATGACAGAACCGCATTAAAAAGTAATACATGTGTTGCTAGAGTGCAAACGTAGATAACAACACAGACAACAACATTAAAGAGACATACACGTAACTTTATAGTTCTCATCCCACCTAAGACCTCCACTCATACTGTAACACCAAGCAGAGGTGAAATATGAAGAGAGAAGTATAGCAGATGTTTGCAATTATTTATATATTATATATATACAGTGGGGAGAACAAGTATTTGATACACTGCCGATTTTGAAGGTTTTCCTACTTACAAAGCATGTAGAGGTCTGTCATTTCTATCATAGGTCTCACTATGTGAGAGACATAATCTAAAACAAAAATCCAGAAAATCACATTGTTTGATTTTTAAGTAATTAATTTGCATTTTATTGCATGACATAAGTATTTGATCACCTACCAACCAGTAAGAATTCCGGCTCTCACAGACCTGTTAGTTTTTCTTTAAGAAGCCCTCCTGTTCTCCACTCATTACCTGTATTAACTGCACCTGTTTGAACTCGTTACCTGTATAAAAGACACCTGTCCACACACTCAATCAAACAGACTCCAACCTCTCCACAATGGCCAAGACCAGAGAGCTGTGTAAGGACACCAGGGATAAAATTGTAGACCTGCACAAGGCTGGGATGGGCTACAGGACAATAGGCAAGCAGCTTGGTGAGAAGGCAACAACTGTTGCCGCAATTATTAGAAAATGGAAGAAGTTCAAGATGACGGTCAATCACCCTCGGTCTGGGGCTCCATGCAAGATCTCACCTCGTGGGGCATCAATAATCATGAGGAAGGTGAGGGATCAGCCCAGAACTACACGGCAGGACCTGGTCAATGACCTGAAGAGAGCTGGGACCACAGTCTCAAAGAAAACCATTAGTAACACACTACGCCGTCATGGATTAAAATCCTGCAGCGCACGCAAGGTCCCCCCTGCTCAAGCCAGCGCATGTCCAGGCCCGTCTGAAGTTTGCCAATGACCATCTGGATGATCCAGAGGAGGAATGGGAGAAGGTCATGTGGTCTGATGAGACAAAAATAGAGCTTTTTGGTCTAAACTCCACTCGGCGTGTTTGGAGGAAGAAGAAGGATGAGTACAACCCCAAGAACACCATCCCAACCGTGAAGCATGGAGGTGGAAACATCATTCTTTGGGGATGCTTTTCTGCAAAGGGGACAGGACGACTGCACCGTATTGAGGGGAGGATGGATGGGGCCATGTATCGCGAGATCTTGGCCAACAACCTCCTTCCCTCAGTAAGAGCATTGAAGATGGGTCGTGGCTGGGTCTTCCAGCATGACAACGACCCGAAACACACAGCCAGGGCAACTAAGGAGTGGCTCCGTAAGAAGCTCTCAAGGCCCTGGAGTGCCTAGCCATCTCCAGAACTAACCCAATAGAAATCTTGGAGTGAGCTGAAAGTCCATATTGCCCAGCGACAGCCTGAAACTGAAGATTGAAAGTCTGTATGGAGAGTGGCCAAACCCTGTGCAGTGTGTAAACCTGTCAGACTACAGAACGTGATCTCTGTATTGCAAACAAAGTTTTTGTACCAATTTAAGTTCTGCTTTTCTGATGATAATAGTAGTCATGCATAAAGCAATTAATTACTTAAAATCATACAATTGATTTTCGTAACAAAAACAGCCTTTTCAACAGCTTGGGAAACAGAGGCCCTGCTATGAGACAATTCTCCTTTCCCGTTTTCTCAAATCAATTTGTATGATGTTGGCCTAGATCAGAGCCGGATAGTTTTTAAAAGCCAGTGACAAAACCAATGATTAGTAGGCCTGTTATGCAATGTTAGGGCATAACAGCAGATCTAGGTTCAAATACTATTGATATCTTTCAAATACTTTGAGTGTTTGTTTTTACCCTGTCTGGAGTGCCAGATGGCAGGCGTTTGTAGTTTTGTGACATTCCATTGGTTTCCATTGTGACAGGCAAGCTCAATAAGACCAGATAAAGTATGTAAATTATTTTAAATAGTATTTGAACCCAGGTCTTTTGGGTAGTGGAGTGGTGTAGCGAAATGATTCAACTTTCCAACAAGGAATCTGTATGTGAACCCAGTTATCATGGTTTCAAAGCAGAAAACAATGTATGTAGCCACTACAGATGTTGCCAACGTCTATTCCACGTTGGTTCGAAGTAATTTCATAGATATTAGTGGAAAAACGTTGATTCAACCAGTGTGTGCCCAGTGGGAAGTAGCTATTGACATGACAGAACCGCATTTTAAAAAGTTAATACTGTGTTGCTAGAGTGCAAACGTAGATAAAACACAGACAAAACATTAAGACACATACACGTAACTTTATCGTTTCATCCCCCCTTGCCACGGCAGTGTATCAAATACTTGTTCTCCCCACTGTATATACTACAGCTTCATAACTCTTCTACCGCCATTCTCCCTCTCTCTCTCCTGATACAGGGGCAAGGTGTGTCATGTTCATGTATGATGGCCCGGAGTCCACCCTTGCAGCAGAGTGTACACTCACATTCTAAAAACGCGGGCCACTAATAAATCACTGATGTTGGGCGATTAGGCCTGGCTCACAGTTGGGGAGGTGTTCGATGGAGTTGAGGTCAGGGCTCTGTGCAGGCCAGTCAAGTTCTTCCACACCGATCTCGACAAACCATTTCTGTATGGACCTCGCTTTGTGCACGGGGGCATTGTCATGCTGAAACGGGAAAGGGCCTTCCCCAAAATGTTGCCACAAAGTTGGAAGCACAGAATCGTCTAGAATGTCATTGTACACTGTAGCGTTAAGATTTCCCTTCACTGGAACTAAGGGGCCTAGCCTGAACCATGAAAAACAGCCCCAGAACATTATTCCTCCTCCACCAAACTTTACTGTTGGCACTATGCATTTGGGCAGGTAGTGTTCTCCTGGCATCCGCCAAACCCAGATTTGTCCGTCGGACTGCCAGATGGTGAAGCGTGATTCATCACTCCAGAGAACCTGTTTCCACTGCTCCAGAGTCCAATGGCGGTGAGCTTTACACCACTCCAGCCGTCGCTTGGCATTGTGCACAGTGATCTTAGGCTTGTTTGCAGCTGCTTGGCCATGGAAACCCATTTCATGAAGCTCCCAACGAACAGTTCTTCTGCTGATGTTGCGTCCAGAGGCAGTTTGGAAATTGGTAGTGAGTGTTGCAACAGAGGACAGGCGATTTTTACACGCTATGCGCTTCAGCACTCAGCCGTCCTGTTCTGTGAGCTTGTGTGGCCTACCACTTTGCGGCTGAGCCGTTGTTACTCCTAGACATTTCACAATAACAGCACTTACAGTTGACCAGGGCAGCTCTAGCAGTGCAGAACTTTGACGAACTGACTTGTTGGAAAGGTGGCATCCTATGACCGTGCCATGTTGAAAGTCACTGAGTTCTTCAGTAAGGCCATTCTACTGCCAATGTTTGTCTACGGAGATTGCATGGCTGTGTGCTCAATTCTATACAGAGGTCAGCAACGGTGTAAATGCAGTCTAAATAATACACTAGACCTAAAACCGATGTCGAGTGAAACAGACGTACCTGTTTGTTCTTCTTGGCAGCCTCCACCCCCATGCCGAAGGGCTGCGTTCCCTTGTAGCGGGGTGGGCAGGCCAGACAGTGGAACCCTGGGTCTGTGTTGATGCAACGCAATGCTCCACCAGCTTTAAAGCATACGTCAGACACCATGTCACACTGAGGAGGAAGAGGAGCAGATAAAATCAATCAATCAATCAATTAATCAATCAATCAGAGAGCAGAGACCATGTGACACGGAGGAGGAAGAGGATCAGAAGTAGATTATATTAAATCAATCAATCATAAAATCAATCAAACCGATCGATCAGAGAACATGTGACACTGTGGAGGAAGAGGATCAGAATGAGATTTACATTCTAAGTAGGGTAATAGGTCATGAATATGAATGAGTAAAGGAAGATCCAAAGGTAATGGTTAGGCATAGCCTGGGGATGAAAATGTATTAAGGCTAAGGTTAGTGTTAGGGTTAACCATTAGTTAGTGGGTTAACCAAGTATCTGACTTGTGTAACATGCTTCTTTAACCCAAAATTACCTCGTTGACATCTTCGCAGTGGGTTCCGTTGCCGCGGAAACCGAGAGGGCATAGCCCACACTCCCAGGATCCGTCGGGGGCGCTGTTACAGTCCACTCCTCCGAAGCATGGGTTAGACAGACAACCGTCTGACAGGGAACAATAATGCATTGGTTAGAAAAGTGTTTTAACAGAGTTATAAAAGAGTTATAACTAAAGCAACCATGTGAAGGGAAGCAATTCTCCATAATTTGTTGGCGACTGGTTATACATTTACATTTTAGTCATTTAGCAGACGCTCTTATCCAGAGCGACTTACATTATAAAAAAAATGTCTTCATACTGCCCCCCCGTGGGAATCAAACCCACAACCCTGGTGTTGCAAACGCCATGCTCTACCAACTGAGCTACATCCCTGCCGGCCATTCCCTCCCCTACCCTGGACGACGCTGGGCCAATTGGGCGCCGCCCAATGGGTCTCCCGGTCACGGCCGGCTATGACAAAGACTGGATTCGAAAAAGGATCTCTAGTGGCACAGCTAGCACTGCGATGCAGTGCCTTAGACCACTGCGCCACTCGGGAGATAGTGATAGTGAAGAGAACCAGGACTAATGCAGCTACGTTTGGACATTTGTTTATTGGTATATTTAGAATATTGACTTCCCCAGTTTGTTCAGGTGGTTCACTTCAGGTTGCTGTCTTCATTTCTCTCAAAGTTAGCAGGTTTCAGTGCTTTCAAAGCTTGTTGCCCATTCACAATGTTACCATTAGCTAATGGCAAAACACATCCTTCCAGACTTTGTTATCAGCACAAATATTTGACAAAAATTTGCCTGGAGGCCAATCTCACAGCACTTATCACAGGAATGTTGAAATTTGAAATAATAACTCAACTGGAATGCTAGAATGAATTGGAAAAACTCAAAGGGAGTGAGGGAAGGTTAAAATAACTCAAAGGGAGAGAGAACGGAATGAGGGGTTGGGTCAGAGGTGCTGAATGGGACACACACGCACACACACATACATACAAACACACACACACACACACACACACAAACACACACACACTCACCGATAGGGCAGTCTTGTTTGTTGCAGGCATTACTGTCGTTGGTCTCCCCGGGGCACTTCTTGCCTCCGTACTGGGGTTCGGGGCTGTTACAGACACGGGTCCGACCCTTAACTCCACCCCCACAAGTTGCCGAGCAGATCGCCCATGGCGACCACGGTCCCCAACCACCGTCAACTGCACATGGACAACAAATATATTCTTCTTCCATTCCTTTACTTAGATTTGTGTGTATTAGGTTTTTGTTGTAGAACTGTTAGATATTACTTGCTAGATATTGCTACACTGTCGGAACTAGAAGCACAAGCATTTCGCTACCCTCGCAATAACATCTGCTAACCATGTGTATGTGACCAATACATTTGATTTGATTTTAAATAAACAGTTAGTAGACCATCACATTTGTTGATCTCTTAGATCACAATGGGGGCTAGTCTTCCAAGAGTCCAAGAGGATGTTTTACTACTTGACATTACTGTCTTATCAAGTCTCTTTTACTGTAAGAAAGTGTAGCAAAGAATTACAGTAGTAGTTGTAGGCCTACGGTCACACACAGGAAATATGCAACCCCTTTGCATCCATTCTGTAGTGGCCAGTGCACTCTCAGCACTGTGTGGACAGATTACCGCAGTAGGGCACATGCCGATTTGATTTGAGCCTGACGTTCTATGAAAGACAGACACGTAGCACGTTTAGCATGTGAACGGTGCCCCTTCTATACGAGTGGATAGAGGTGTAAAACTCTTCTTCTTCTCCATGTTTGTAAATCCAGGTAAGTGGGTATGAATCAGACCAAAATACTTGTTCAAACTACTTTATACTGGGTACAAACAGTATTTGTTCTCTTTCAAAAGAAAGAGGCTAGCTCAATCAATGCACAGCTAAATTATTCGAAAGAAAGCAAAAATGAACCCAGGTGCCTATAGTCTCTCTAGACAGACTGGTTGCCTCCCACATTGTACCAATGTTCCAGGATACACCCTAGGTCTTGGATTTCTAAGACTACATTATCGGTGTTGTCCCCCCATACTCACTTGGACAGGGCTTGGCCTCACAGCGCTGTGTCTCTCTCCCCTGGCCCTCACAGTCCTTGCCCCCCAGTTGTGGTGTGGGGGCATTGCAGTGGCGTATCCTGGTGATCTGGCCCTCACCACACGTCACCGAGCATGATGACCACGGAGACCACAGGCTCCACCCACCGTCCTGACGAACTGAACACACACAGGGACATGCCAGTCAAGTCAGAGTATAGGGAAAAGACATACATGTGTAATATATTCAGATGCTGGGTAATTCGGTTGCAGTATACTGGGTACTAGTGAGTCAGTGCAGGTTGGAACACCCTTTAGGTGTTCCAACCTGCACAGGACCTATTTCCGACAGCAGACAGAGAGACAGACAGACAGACAGAGAAAGACAGAAAGACAGAGAGAGAGACAGAGAGACAGACAGAGAGACAGGCAGACAGAGACAGACAGAGACAGAGAGACAGACAGAGACAGAGAGACAGACAGAGACAGCGAGACAGACATACAGACAGACAGAGAGACAGACAGAGACAAGTCTCAGGCTTTTGAGCCAGAGTGGGTTGAGGTCTCTGTCCAGCCATCTCCATCCTAGCAGAACAGTGCTCCTCACGTGCACAAACACACACCCACGTGCACACACACCCACGTGCACACACACACAAACACACACACACTCTCACATAGCAACTGCAGGAAAATATTGTTTTTATGTTGTTGTAGCAATGCCTTTTAGGTGGAGGGCCGAAGCACGTGAAGTTGATCGATCCCTGTCATCATGCATCATTCTTATGATGGCTATAACATTTGTGGGCACCTTCAATTCTTGCACATTTTCTCATAAAAAGTATATTCCAACACTATCTGCTCAGGCAAATTTGCTGAACTGCTAACCTTGGAACCAATCAGAACTCCTGTACATAACCCTCGTGATGAAGGCAGCCAATGGCTTGCTTCTATCTACGATGTAAACACAGCCTCTTGTGAAAACACGAGCTGCTGTCTGATGAAGAGGAACATATATAGCTAGCTAGCTACCAAAGACTGAAATAAGATAAATATGCACTTGACATATGCAGCATGCAATACGAATTGTCTTGGTAAAAGACCAAGTTCATATTATGGCAAGAACAGCTCAAATAAGCAAAGAGAAACGACAGTCCATCATTAATTTAAGACATGAAGGTCAGTCAATACGGAACATTTCAAGAACTTTGAAAGTTTCTTCAAGTGCAGTCACAAAAAACATAAAGCGCTATGATGAAACCGGCTCTCATGAGGACCGCCACAGGAAATGAAGACCCAGAGTTACATCTGCTGCAGAGGATAAGTTCATTAGAGTTACCAGCCTCAGAAATTGCAGCCCAAATAAATGCTTCACAGAGTTCAAGTCACAGACACATCTCAACATCAACTGTTCAGAGGGGACTGTGTGAATCAGGCCTTCGCGGTCGAACTGCTGCAAAGAAACCACTACTAAAGGACACCAATAATAAGAAGAGACCTGCTTGGACCAAGAAACACAAGCAATGGACATTAGACCGGTGGAAATGTGTCCTTTGGTCTGGAGTCCAAATTTGAGATTTTTGTTTCCAACCGCCGTGTCTTTGTGAGATGCGGTGTAGGTGAACGGATGATCTCCGCATGTGTAGTTCCCACCGTAAAGCATGGAGGAGGAGGTGTGATTGTGTAGGGGTGCATTGCTGGTGACACTGTCTGTGATTTATTTAGAATTCAAGGCACACTTAACCAGCATGGCTACCACAGCATTCTGCAGCGATACGACATCTCATCTGGTTTGGGCTTAGTGGGACTATCATTTGTTTTTCAACAGGACAATGGCCCAACACACCTCTAGGCTGTGTAAGGGCTATTCTACCAAGAAGGAGAGTGATGGAGTGCTGCATCAGCTGACCTGGCCTCCTCAATCCCCCAACCTCAACCCAATTGAGATGGTTTGGGATGAGTCAGACAGCAGAGTGAAGGAAAAACAGCCAACAAGTGCTCAGCATATGTGGGAACTCCTTCAAGACTGTTGGGAAAGCATTCCAGGTGAAGCTGGTTGAGAGAATGCCAAGAGTGTTCAAAGCGTCATCGAGGCAAAGGGTGGCTATTTGAAGAATCCCAAATATAAAATATATTTTGATTTGTTTAACACTTTTTTGGTTACTACATGATTCCATATGTGTTATTTCATAGTTTTGATGTCTTTACTATTATTCTACAATGTATAAATAGTAAAAATAAAGAAAAACCCTTGAATGAGTAGGTGTGTCCAAACTTTTGACTGGTACTGTACGTTTCATGCATATACATTCGAACAAAGAACACCATCACAAATAGTGTTTCACCATTTATTGAGTACAGAGACAAATATAAAAAGTGTCTCAGGCAGTATTTGAAGTATCTAAATATAGTGTAACCTACCAATCAATGTATATCAAGTGCCGTGGAGGGTACAATCTGACAATGTTGCAGTCCAGAAATGAGAGCTTTTCTATCTATGCCAAAAGCCTGGGCCTCTGATGGAGACTGAAGAACTGTCAACAACGCATGCTTCAGTATTCCCCCTTCTCTCTAGAAGCATTTATGTGGCCAGGCCCCATAGGTGTATTGAAAGGATCCCACCCTGGTCACCAACGTAGCTGACCGATGTAGAGAGAGACAAGGGCCTTAGCAGAATGCAATCTAAAGCTTGAGTGGTGCAGAGACGAGAACTCTATCATTTATGGCAAAAGCCTGGGCTCCTGACGGGGACAATAGAATTATCCCCACTGCATGTTACAATAGTAAAAATAATATGTTTGTCACCTCTTAAACTGATTCTACAATGAATTTAGTCTTTGAGATACTCAATCAAGCACATGTATCTGTAGTTGGTGTTCTTCAACTCTAAAATGCACTAGACTGTGTAAGACAAAATCCACAAAGAAAATACAACAGGCAATTGCATATGCGATCCCAATGTCTAAATAGTGTTCAAACAGCTAGTTCAAACTGCAGTAGGATGGTTCTCCTCACAGGTGAGTGAATCAGCCCATGCTTGGTGAATAGCACTTGGTTGATCTCTGGGAGCAGGACACAGGAGAGCTGAATAGATCATGTGAAACAAACGTGAGAGACAAGAATGAATAAAATAAATCATCACAGCAAAGGAATGTAGTTCGTGAGCTAGAAAATGAACATCCTGACAGTCTGAGGCAGGATGCTCTGCATTCACCCTACATCCTAGGATAATGTGGCATTTCTTATTTGTCAGTATGAATGAAATGAGTGGGTCCTACATTGATGACTGTATTAGATTTCACTATTAGTCCTATAGATTTTTGTAGTCTTCAATTATTACTTGGAATAAACTGATACCTAAAACGCTCCTTGTCCCAGAATGACATGCTAGCTAGTGATAAAGCAATCTGCTCCTGCTAGCTAGCAACATATATACTTGTTTTTAACTAGCAAGCTAACTAGCATTTTACAGCTTGCATTGATGGTATCACATTTCTGTAACTAAATAGTTAGATTACAAATAAATAAAAAATACTTTACCTGATAGCAGTTTGTTGGACAGCGATCTCTATTGAGATGTCACCAGCTGTTTACTACCTTAGATACGGATAACGTGATTGGCAGACGTGATCAGCAGAGATAGTACCATGGATAGTACACAAGTTTTGATTGGTTTACAGTTTAGTACTCGGCGGCGTTTGTCTGTCCAGCTAGCGAACATAAAAGTATTTTGAAAAAATATGCAAGATTTGACATTGTCAACAAATGGAAATGTG